GGGGGGGTGGGGGGGGGAGAGAACAAAATTGTGTTGTGGAACCACAATAAAATACCAGAGGTACGAGGGGAAGTAGTCGTTAAAAGAAATGATTGGTGAATAAATCGTTTGTGTGTGTGTGTGTGTGTGTGTGTGTGTGTGTGAGTGTATGGTATTCATTTATTAGAAATTTTAACTGGATGGATGAATTAATGCTAACTTGCGTTTGCCCTAACACTGGAGAAATAGCTCCTGAAGAGTAGGGAATAATGGGTCAGTCAGTGGGGGAGCCCTCACATAATCGGTCCAAAATTCCTAAATAGCTGCCATAGCAACTACAACGTAAGTTACGTATAGTGAAGTGTTAAAGACTGCCACCATAACTGGTAAATGATGCCGTGATCATGCAAATTTCACTAAATTCCTAATGTCACCACCGCCAACACAGTGATTAATTAGTTATTAAAATAGGGAATCAAGAAAAAGTGTTCGATTGAGTGCTCAGTAAGTACAAATATCTGAGTTGAGTCATTATAAGGAAAGTGTGTTGAGTTAATGAAAAGTTGAGTCAGTCAAACGAGAGAGTACTAACTGGGCTCCCATTCAAAAGCAGTAGGTGCGGTGAGTCATCAGTTCAAGCAGGCGAGAGAGAGTATCACACGAAGGCGACCAGGCAGGCAGGGAGGATGGTGGCCCTACCCCTCACCTTCCACCACCACCCCCTTTCACACTCAAAGCGCCCCTTAATAGTGCGTGTCCGGCTTTATGGTGGTTTAGTTGCTAATTCAGCCGCACCATAAATCATCTTTAAATAGGCCTGAATCAGTTCTACACATGTAGACGCCTCATCAAGCCAACTGGGGGTTTGAGAAGAATGAATTATTTTATGAAAGCTGAGTTGGGTTGATTCATACCCTTTGAAACTGGATTAAAATTTGGCTACTACCAGTTTATCACATTTCAAGGACGAAGAAGACATGATTTCGAGCATTCATTCGTCGTCGCATTGTTCGAAAATTAGACTGTAAAGCATATAATTAGACAAGAAATTTCGAGACAGTTCCTAACCAATTTCAATATTCCCAATCAATATGGACTTGCGAGGCTATGTATTGAAAGAGAAATAAGAGCGATATTAGCGAATTAACTGTCCATAAATCAATAAATTTTCGATAATAAGCGCTAACCTGGTTATAAGTTGGAAGCGTCTAGAAGTGAATGTACTCAAATTAGCGACCCGATATTGCATAATGAAATAAAACGAAAGGGTTATTCTCATGATACAACAATCAGTCGGAGCTACTTTTCGCATTCAGTCTTTCATTCAATGACTTTGTAATTAAATTCGGTTCGCGTTTTTAACGATTTCCGCACTAGGAAAAAAATAGGATTATTATGAAGCATGCTTATAAGAATACGAAATCAAGTGAAATGGTTGCCATCGAGACGATGACGACAAGGGCACGAAGGAAAACTACCATCATGAAAGAAGCAAACATGACCGCCACAAAGGCAAGGAGTGGCCAGTTAACAGTCTGGACACGCAAATACTGCGCGGTGCCTTTTGAAGTAGCCGTGTGCGTTTACGTCTCACTTCACATAAAAACCCTACTTCTGTCCTGACAACGACCGCCTTTCCTCTCTCTCTCTTTTCACAATTTCTGACTGACGTATAGCACTCTTTGTGAATGAAAAAATATCAAGAGCTATGTGAAACGTCTCAGCAAATTCCCCTTTTTCTGGGCATAAAACACTAGGCGAGTTATCCTACAAACAACCATCAAAAGGCAATCTAAAATGAGTCATACTATTTAGCCCCTCACCCCACCCCCGCCCCCCGCCCCGCTCCCCATATCATCAGAAAACCGTTGCAGTTCGGTGCTGAAAGAGTGCAATAAAGTGTCCAACGCTATATCATGTAATTGGGACGTCGACGATAGCAATCAGACGGGTAGTTAAGTTATTATACTCTTTCTGACCTTTCTGACAGCGAACAGAGGAGGAATGGGGGGGGGGAGAGAGGAGGGGAGGGGATGGAGGAGAAGACGGGACGGTAAACTTTGGTCACAATCATCGTCCAATGACATTATAATAGGAAGCAGAGGCCTAATGTGGGCCGTCTGTTCAAAGAAGCGCACAGAGCAACTGAAGTGCCCTTTTATGTCACCTGCAGTGTAGCAAGTCAAATGCTGATGGCAATGCAATGCTGATGGCTAGTGATAGTACAAGATCTATCGACTCAAGATATTTATATTCAAGTTAAACAAGATGAGGCAGCAGATGAAAGCACTACATTCGAGTGGTCATGGTGGTAGAGCATGACGTATGTAAAAGATTTTTATTACCTGGGAACAACAGAGGAGAGACAATGGGGACTGTGAAATTGACATTTCAGTCTGACATTTGGGGAACTGCGGGTGATCGAGATCTTCAGTGGAAAATTTATGTCTAACCAACACAAATAGGAAATAATGACTTTGGTAGGTCATAGAGGCATCAGGTACATGCAAAAAATAACCAGATTATGAATAAACCTTAACCCTAATCCACTTCAATTGCTTCATCTTAAATGATAATGTCAAGTGGCCAAGGAATTGAGCTGAAGGGAAAATGACAAGTCAAGTGATTCACAAATCCTTCATAAGTAAGGAGACAAGGATTGTTTGAGGAATCAAACCAATTTCTGCCTCCCATATTTTCCATTCGACGCCTACAATTAACAGATGATTTGCTTTGAGTCTATTTAACTTTCGAATTTACTTTCATCTGCTTCCAACGCCATTTCTCATTATTCCTGGTGGGAGTTAGTCCAGCCTTACAATTCGGCCCGAGATGTCGAATTCTCCAATGTCCCCAAAACCCAACTAGCACCAATGCAAAATATACTCGACAAAATCAACTCACTGATTGAGTTTGGGTTCACTATTCGACCGTCTGCGGTCATTTTACTCGCACAGTATAGTTCACACAATCTACCCCCCCCCCCCCTCCCAACGATTCTTACAGCCTTCTCCTTGTAAACAATAAAATCCTTCAGACAGAGATTCCTCTCTTCCACTCAAAAAAATGATAGAGTGGTAAATGTCATGTTAAGTTAGAAAGGCAATAGCTCACCGCACATTCAGTTAAAAAATTATCAACCATCGGGTCAAGAAAGTGGACAAGAATTTAGATGGAATTGCGCACCTTGCATTTGAGCAGTTGAGAAGGCTGATTCGTGAGTTAGCAGTGTCATAGTAGGCCTGGGGCTCCGTTTTCGGTCGTCTTTCAAGAGCCTCTTCCAGGTCCTCAGTTTCTGTGTTGCCTTCCCGATTTCCTCTACTGACGGCTCCGTCGTTTCCACCACCACCACCACTGCCCCCACCACTGCCACCCCCACAGAGATGCGAAGGGGGTGGTGAGGAGGAGGAAGATGTGTGCGAGAGACAGCGTCGACAGATGGCGGCAGCTGGTTCGATGCTCCTAGTGATGTTAGAGAGCTCAGAGCATTCCGAAGATGATGCCCTAACCGCAGCTAACAGGCAGGGATTCGGAGGACCAGCAGCATTGAGAACTACTGGCCGAGGCATAACTATTCTAAGAGCCGATGTATTCATCTGAATTGAAACGCCGCAGCTGGTAGAGGGGATAACCGCACTAAAATTGAATGTGTTGATGGCTGAAGAGACTGAGGGAATATCCTTCTGGCAGAAGCCACCAGGCATTCTGAAATTGGAAGCTCGAAGACGTGCGTAGCGCTGTAGCAGTGGTTCAACCTAAGAAGGAATAAATTTTGATGGGATTGTGGAAGCCACTGCTCAATGGAGGCATTTAAAATAAAATAGACGGATTTTCTCTGTGCACTCTGATCATATTGCTAACTGCGCATATAGTTCATCCAATTAATCAATCCCCTACTGTGAACCAACCCGTGATGTAAAAACTTTGGTGTTAATTGGATAACCTTATACAAGTTTGACTGCGATTGTCACTAATAAGCCAATGACACCAATTTTCAAATTTATATTTAGTGATTCTTTGGGATTCAAACAACACTTAGAATAAGAAATTTTTCATTGAAATTTTAGTAAAACTTTATTAATGTAATTAATACAATTAAATGATAACCCGCATTGTAATCGCATGGATACTTTCAAAAAGTAATACATAAATACAACACTTCCATCAAAATCTTCTGTTTCCATGAAATATTTGTTAATTATTAGGCAAGCATGCTTAACTATTATAATTTGTGTTAACAGAAACGAAGGGACGCGAAAACTAGGATATCTGGAAGTTTCAAAACATAAAAGCTGTTTGCCGAATTCTCACCACTCCTTCCCCCCCCCCCCCCCCCCCCCCCCCCACCTCGACATACTTTAGTAGAACACGGTAGTTTTGCGAAGGCTTCATTTCAACCAAATGTGGTGTTTACTTTCCATAAGTTACCTTTTGATAACAAACTAGGGAATTAGCGTAAGTTAAAGTGGGAGAGAGTTAACTAAATGAGTTTGGACAAGCTGGGTTGAAATCTATTCCAATTCTCAAATGCGAGGTTTAGATGCGAACAAAGAGAACGAGGTACGGCTTCTGGCCAAAATAGCCAGGAAATGGAAGACATGGTTGACGGTTAAGTCCCATCCCAACTACCACTACCTTACTCTATCAACCATACATGCATTCTGCCACCAACCTCACCGCCTGTGTTCCTCATAATAGTGTGTGTGCGTGTTAAAGCACAAACAGTAAAAAGCAACGAACAGGAGCGCATATAGCACGAAAAAGTGTCACTCATTAATTCCATCTCTCCACCACCCCCCCCCCCTCTATCCATGCGCGAATACATGGAAAGGGGCTGCAGGAGAGAAGGGTTTACACGTAGAATGACTAGACAATTATGCGCTACTGACCTCGTAATTCTCCAGGCGTGGCCTTGTAATTCGCGGATCTTCTAAACGCAAGCGAAGGACACGTAATAGAACAAAGAGGATATGTGCACAGGGAGACCGCGTGGAGGCAGTACAAACAAGAGGTTGTTCTGAGCAACTGCATCCCGATGAATGTCCGCCCAGAGTCACTCGGAAACGCTGTCGCTTGGGAGATGAGCAGCCTGCCATTTCCCATTGACAATTACTAATGGGGTTCGGATCGAGGATTATGAAAGCGTTGGGAGCTGGCTGGTGAAGAAGGAGGAAGTTAGCTTGAAGAGCCCTGGCAACCTGCTCCTGAAGACTGGCCGATCGATTAAATGAAGCGGTGCCAGATGAGCATCCAGCTGGAAGCGTATCGTGACAGCCAATCATTTGTCTGTAAAAAAATTGAAATATTTTTAATCAATGCTGGGTGGGAGAGGACTCCATGAACATAAAAGCCATTTGCCGGAAAGCGTTCTCATATCTGGAACTGAATAAATGACTTTGTTTGGAGGAGCAACATAAATGTAAGTAGTTTTACGTCATGGAATGAGCGATAAAAGTTAAACGTTTTTTGTGCAAATGGCCATAGGGTATCTATCCAGAAGAATTGGGAGGAGAATGCCATTACGCTAGTCAGATGAAGAAAACAAATAAAAGCCAAAGTCAATAATATTCTGAAGCAAATAAAATGCCGTAGAGAGTATATTTTAGGCAAAGCCGCTAAAACTGGAACTAAAAATATACAGTTGAGAAGAAAAAATGAGAAAACTGACTAAGGCTAAAATAAAACTAAATATGAGAACATGTAGACAATTGCAAGGCAAAGATAAAATTTAGCATATATATATAAAGAAAATTATTCTGAAATGGGTGGATAAATAGAAAGATTAAATGCCCTACATATAAAGGTAAAATACGACGAATTTAAAGTTAATGTACTTATATATGAAACAAAATGAAACAGAAACAATGAAGCATAAAGTAACACAATTATTAGTCTACTTAGCAATCGTATATGAAATTTAATAAAAATTAGTAAAAAAATTTCAAGATACTCCAAGTATTTACTACCACTTAAATATATTTCAAAAAGATAGGAAACCAAAGTTGCTCTATCATAGGATAAAGAACTTACAAACAATAATCAATCAAGATAGAAATAAATTTATCAAAGAAAATTACCTGTTTATCACTTATACTTTCCACTTCTTATGGTGAAATTTGGCAAGAAACAGCAAACTATGGGCACAAAGTACCAGTTAATAAATGCGCATATCGCAAATAAAGGTCGTGAACTTACTATTGTGGTAATATCAAACAAATCTGGGATTAGGTTAAAACAAGATTAAATTGTAATTCTGTGTTCAAACACTATGGAAAAAATTTTATGCTGACATCTTTAGTCATTATATATCTAGTTTTATTGAATTTGATTTGATTTAATTGCCCTGCATATAAGCTATATTTATTAGTATGTAATATACATTTATAAACATTTTAATACTTATAACTGATATTTTTATGTGTGAATTAAAAGATTTATTAATTACTCTCCTATAAGATACTTACATATAATGTTCATAATGGCTCAGTCGATCTTATCATTTCAAAATAGTTTTTAACTATTTTTATGACTTCAGTCATTAAATATGACCGGTTGTTCTTGAAATTTTTCACAGAGTTCTGCTGATGCTTATGCGCTCTTTGAATTTAATACTACATTTATTATAGCCTTTTAACTTTTAATTTATTAATCGATTCCCCGCCTTGTTATATTTTTCTTGTTACATGTACTTTTTTTACCAAATTGACAGGTTGTCAATTTATATTTTACAAAGCTATTTTCTTCCTTCTGGCCTCTCATCGTAACATAATATTTAAGTAATTTCAAACACTGTAGTTAAGGCAACTTCCCCATCCTGCTTGACATCAAAACTTAGCGATTTCTCCTGATGGATACGAACTACTTTCTGCATTTAAAACTCAACGAAGGAAGATGAAATTATTTTCGGTTTGAAATCTCATTTCGCGAGGATGGTTCCACTCGAAGTACTTAAGTAGTTGGGCAGGATGCATAGGAGCGCACTCAAGATTACCCATAATGTACGTGGCGTGCGATTAACCGAATCTATCCTCTTAATTTGCAGACCACTATTAAATTTACAATAGAAAGCCCCAGGGTAAAAGACGAAAGCTAACTGAAAGAGTAAAATCAACAGTTATATTGCGAGGTAGATTGATTGGGCACCTTGAAAAGAGATCATAAATAAAAGGAAGACAACTACACAAGGTTATTTATGTACATAAGAAGAGAAAGAAGACTCGACTAGTTTAGGGCACTAAGGGAGAGTAATAATGACGGAAGAGATCATAGACTCTGACTGCGTGAATGTACAGATTTCACTTCCACTGGCAGTAAGTCTGTCTGTTCGCCTTGCGTGCGCATTGTCAGAGTACACGACTCCAGGTTCTATGGGAAAATCGAGATTGTAATAATATCTGAGTAGAGATAAACTGAAGAGTTGATGAGGGGGGGGGGTGCGCTTACCGAGGTCAGTTCAGAGATAAGACGATTGTCATCAAGTTTGTGAAGAGTTGGATGGAATCCGATGAAATTCGATGATTCAGCACCCTCCAACTCCACGGCTTCAGTGTCAGTGTCATCTTGTCCTGGGGGGGTACGACGAGGCGAGCTGGGAAGGGAGATGCCCGCTTCTGCAGGTGTCATTTCAGAGGAACAGGAGCCATCGGCACCCACACCACGGAGGCGCGGTGAAGTGGGAGGAGAGTTGAGCCAATGACCTAGTCGACGCGACTCATGAATTCGATTTGATATCGCTTCCAGACTGTTCATCGTCTGTGAATACAACTTCTTCGCTGATTCCACCTCAGCAGTCAGTCGATCTATCTCTGCCTTCGCCTCCTGATGAAATAAACAGAGGATTAGTTGACATGAGAAATAAATATCCGTGTGTTGGCCAAATCAAAGTACAAAAGAACCCTTGGGCCTGCATTAGATTTAGAGAATTGTAGGAGGAAAGAGAATAATTAAATGCCACAAATCAAATGCTTATTAGCATAAGGAGGGAAATTCCGCCACATGCTAATAAGCGACACACCTCTCTCTCTGCCCCGTATCACGCGTGAAATACATTTCGACACAACGCAGAATTACCCGCCCCCCCTCCCCTCCCCCCAGCAAAATCGTTGTCGCATGCACACACAATACCAAAAGGAAATTTTGCCACAGATATCTAGTGATGCGAACCTATTCGGCTATTGATAGCTTGAAGGTGATTCGCCAGAGATTGAATCGATGATGGATAAAGGGTCCTGTCCATTGAGTAAAAGGAAAGTGCAGTAACTATTTTGGCGTAGACAAAATCCAGGCAGAATCGGTGGGAATCGCGTTCCTTTTTCTCATCAAATGAGAGAAGGCGCTCTAGTCCCATTAAAATCAAAGTGAAAAATCGCGGCGCATCGAACTAAAGTGCACCGTTTTTGCCCTCGCGCAGTCCGCAGAAAAAGCGCAAAGTTAAAACGAAGATGGCGAATCGCACGGGGGGGGGGGGGAACAAGTAATATGCTGATGATGATGAAATTTGAAAGGATTATTGCAATTGGGGAAATGTGCACAAATTATGGAGATGAGATCACGCAATCGTATTATCAGAAATGCGGGCAGAAGAGCTATGGGCGTTTCCATGTCTTTCAAACTACCATCGCGTTTTGCGAAAGAATATTTCAGTTGCAGTGAAGTTAATGGGGCCCTTGCTAAAGATACCACCTACAGGCCACTTCATTTTTACAAATGGCCCTCCAATTCGAGTTAAAAAGGAAATTCCTAATTAAATGAAGCCCACTTAATAATCCGGCAAAGTTGCCTAATGATCATATGGGACAGCTGCGCAATGAAATACGCACTGGAATGGAACAAGGAACAAAAAGTGCTCCAGTCCACAATAAAAGATCCTACTCGCCCAGACAACAGAATCAGTAAATTTATTCACCGAAGTCGAGTGAGCTTCGATAGAGGAGAAGTGTCATGAGAGACTAATGTGACCAGGATGGGAATGAGAGGGGAAAAGGAGAATTCACGTTTTCAGTCTCATCTCATGATTCTCCAGCCCTCACATCGAGATGTAACCCGTGAGGACTGGAATGAACAAAAAGAGAAACAATCAACTGGATGTCTAATCACAGGAAAAAACCACTGATGCCAACAATATCCCAACCAAATCCGATTAAATGTGAATAGCTTTAAGATCACAAGAAGTTTTAACGTAGTTTAAGGGACTAATACTGAGTCTATTTTTGACAGACTCAATTCAATTTGAGATAATCCATCAACAGGGACAAAGGCTGCACGTGGCGAATCATGACTGCATTGCGCCATCACAGTGACAACTCCATCACAGCGTTCACCTAGAGGGGTGAAAGGGGGGGGGGGAGGAAGATATCCCATTGCTTTATGACATTCAACTTTTAAGCTGACAGATGGAAGGATGGATAAGAATCGCATTCTTTGTCGTCATAAAATATGTAAGCACACAGATTCGTTACTTAATAATGCAATTTCCGGTGATTTCATATGAGTAAAAAAATCGCAGACAAGTGAGAGGCTGGGTGAAGAAAAGCACGGAGGAGAGCACATATACAGCAGCAAAAAGTTTCATAAAATTGCAAAAAAAACATACACACACACCTCCAAAAAGTTGATGAGTCAGGCATTCTAAGAGGTGAAGAGAGCCAAACAAGGCGATAAGGAACAAAATATACAAAAATAGCGGTTTCGAGTGGAAAATTGCAAGACATACGACGAGATAGAGGGGAGAGAGTGGCCTTAATTGCGACTGTCACACAGGGCACTCAAACGCCTCTGTACAAATTTCGTAGGCGGAAGGAGGAGTGCTTGCCGCATTTGGAACCAACAGCAAATGCTCCAATACTCAAGCTAATACAAATTCATAGGGACGAGAAAAGGAGGAAATGAGGAGATCGGTTCCCAAACAACACACGAGTGTTTACTATTCTCCCCAGACCTTTAAGGGGACATGACAGCAATGATTAAAATAGAGCAAAATCGCTCAATTTCCTCCGAGGAACAAAACTGTAGAGAGTAGGTATGGCAGTTGTGTGTAAGTGACGCAAGCACTTGCCCAAAGATCATAGGAAGAGGATGTGGACTAATAGAAATGATAATTATGAGTGGAACAAACAAAAAAATTAGAAAACAAGTCAATAAAAATCACCAACTTGAGCAGATCAAACTGTAAGGTTGACCTTCTATTGCCACTGGCTAATGCAAAGAATTTGTAACAGGGTAATGACAACGGTAATTTCAAGGATTACTGTTTGAAAGTAAATTCCCCCACGAAAAAGAAATAAACTGATGTTAAAAGTTATTAAGAAGAAATTTGTTTGTGGAGACAAGACCACTTAGGAGCATATTGACACGATACCTCGATACGCTCGTTCACTCCTCCTTTGACAGCAAAACACAGTGAGCAGTTGAATGCAATAAAAAACACTCAGCAATCTTTACTTGAACAAAAGCGAATGAGAGCATAAACTATATGTCAGCTTCTTGTGAACACCAAGCACAACCGAATAGTCGGATTAGAAGTTCGATTTAAGGGCAAAGTGTTTAAGTGCACGAATGTGCCTCCCCCCCAGGTTAGATTGTTAAATACAGCATTACAGTGCGACAAACTCGCATATGACTGCAGAGACCTGAACAACATGATTATAAGGCCAATTTGTGTAATGGTGGTATTGAGTGACGAAAAACTAATTACCGCATTAGAAATCCCGGCACTTAACAAAAACTGGCTTTACCCACCCGATTACTCCCTCTTGGCTCTCCCATCTCCTGTCTAACTTTAGCAAAAAATGTCTTAATGGGAATGAAAAACGCCTTCTAAGCCGACAAAGACAGCAAGCAGCACATAGGGAAAGCCAACTCTTGTCATAAATTGCCACATAACTATTGAGCATTACTGGCGAGAGTGAACAATAAGGAAGGCAATTAAACCAGCACCCGGCACTTTCCGCATGTGCAGCTCATCAGATGGATCGCACTGTTCGCAGGCGATTCGATGCCAAGTAAAGGCATTTTAGCATTAAAACGCAACACTACTGACCAACCTGCACTAACCTACAGTTCCACCTCTACCTCTGCTGAACATGCGAGATATCTGCGCCCAGGAATGCACAGAAAGCTTAAATTCACTTCTATTGATAGGTCCTGTAAAAGTGTACTTGAAGAGAGATAAGCAAAAATCATTGTAACTGCGTGGACGCCACCTTTTCAAGGCATTCGACAAACGAAATACGTGGAGACCAATGCTCCAAAATTTGAATACTACGCTATTCTAAAAAAGTAAGTATCGCTTACTTAGATTACTTAAATAAGTGAAGTGACCACAAAGGGTACGAAGTAATTAGTAAAAAAATAGACTCACCTCCATTCTTTGGTTGAAAGAAGCCTGCAAGTCGAAGTAAACTCTAAAGGAGAGGAAAAATGAAGTCACTTTGGCACTCGGCAGGGACATTAAAAAAGAGCCTGAAATATGCAACAAAGGGCCACACAAGAAGAGATCAAATAAGTGACACTCTTTAAACGGAAGGTGCTATTGAAAGGATTTATAGGGGGAGCCAAAGAAGGAGAAACGTTGCATTAACCAAATGACAATAATAAGGGGTTACTTGCAAACACGAAGTAAAGCTACATCCATACAAGTCTTTATTATTTCAAACTTTTAGCGTAATTTCGATCGAGAAAAAAACAATATTCCGTTTAAATGATTCTGAAAGAGTGACAAGGCAACAATGGACTTTAGTACCTTATACTAAATGTAGATCCATAAATTATGCGATATGACAAACAACCATGTCATAGACTACTTGAGGTGACCGAAACCACTCTCCAGAAACAAATTTACGAATAGAATAAAGAGGAGCAGCTAATGAAATAATTCAAAAAAGAGCATGATTCAGCAAAACAAGGAAGCAATTAACAGTAAGAAAAACCAGAAAAACATACTGTGATTTCCGAATGGCAAAAGAGGCGGAACTTCGATGTCGACTGATGTCAGAGTCAACGACAGCACATTGATTAAGAATCTCGGCATGTCTCGACTTTAGGGTAGCCAGCGTCAATTTAGTGGAATTTACCTGCATACCAACAAACACACGCGCACACAATGAGTCCTGACATTAAAAATACTCGAAAAAGTACCACATTATGACGCACCTTTTGAATCGCACTATTGACAATCTCTAATTGCGACTCATCACTCAAATCGAATTTAGCGACGTCGATGTTATAGAAATTTAATATGCCCTTCGCCTGATCATATTCCGTCGAAACGGCAATATAAGCCTTGGAGTTCTTTTGGAGTTCAGCCAGCAATGCTTTCTTCTTTGCTTGGAGTTCATGATAGGGTCTGGCTTTTCCGATACTTGATTTTAATCGTTTAGAATAAGTAGATAAAGTTTGGCAAGTCTCGGTAAGAAGAGATTCATAATCCTTTCGGGCTTTCTAAAACCAATAGTGAAAATTAATTACACTTACATCAAGACTAGTGCCGTTTTTATTTATTAGGGAAGAAGCGTAGTTCAGTGTATTCAGGCGTTCCTGAAGAGCATTATATAAGCGCCCAGCATACCTGAACATTTTCTGCTATGACAGCGGGAAAGACATTGTCATCATGTTCCATGTTTGTATACTTGCTAATTAAACCATCTAATTTCAATTATATACGGGCGAATTATGTCAAATACTACACATAGCCAAACCCAAACACACCTGATCGAAATTGTGAAATGTATCACGCGCTCCTGTGGATGCAAACAATGGTTCACACAAACGAATATGTAAAAGACAAGGTGAATTTATAGAATTATTTTTAATTAAATACAGTTAATGTATTTCAAAGCCTTGATTTATAAGTTAATCTTTTATGCTTTTATTAGAGTCGAATTTGATGGCTAAATTGTAACAAACTTATTTTGTACAAACACTTTAATCCAACTACTTAATATGATGTAATTCCCAGTTATCTCTTTTTCGGAATCTCTAACGCAGTGGGTTAGAAAAATAACCGTAAAAAGGTCAGAAAATTCATGGTTTCAATATAACTGTACTATCTATGACAATAAGTTAGATTAGTTATTTCTTACTTTTCCTCTACACGTCTATTATTTGGAGTAATCGTATATAAATGAAACACATATAAATAAACACGTGCATAAAGTCTTTATAATCCATTTATTTTATTGATTTTTCAAACGTTGCCCATAAAGCAAGTTTTAATAATAAATTCATTTAAGATCCAGATATTTTTATGCCACTCGTAAAAAAATTCTACCAGTGCCAACTTTAGAATTAATCTTACCTCAAACAAAATTCCATGAATACTTAAATATGTATTCAATGGACGTCTTTTGAGCTACACGCCTTCTTCCTGTGTTCTAACTCCTATGTTTTTAGAAAATAGTCCAATAAAAATTGATTTTTTTTGTATTGGTAATAGGCTAAACAATAAAGTTAGCCGCTAATTTATACTCGTTATTATTACTCTATTGCACTATTTTGGTGATAATTAAGTTAGGATAATCTTCACATGCCTAAACTACGCATTCGAACATTCTGGAATGTGCTGCCGCATGCAATGAGTGACTCAGATAGTCAGCTTTTAATTTTCAATCAAATTATTTTACGTGTATTTGATATCTAATCACGCTTGATAATATCATAATTTTCAATAAGCGCTTCAATCGCAATTCGTCTTCCTCCTCTATGTCCTTGTGATAGTTCTAATCCGGGAGCCTTTCCAACCGCCAGAACTTATCATATAGATTTCTGAGAATATGACACGACTTGTTGGCTGTTGATCGGGCCGTCCTATTATCGATATTTCCGGCGAAAATTATATTCTGCCGACTGTTATGGAATTTTTACAGTTACCATAAACGGTAACGTGCTTATTTGAAATGTTACCTTATTCATGATAACTCAGGGTGCTACATAGCACACACATAAGATAGTTTAGGACCCAACAACTAATGACTGGTTAATTTGTATTTCTTTGAAATCATCTTGGTTTCTTTTTCTTTCATCTGCCTGATTACTTAAACTATTCATCACTTACTACCATTATTTTATTATCTTCGAGGCTTAGAATCGTGGTGATCTCATTCAATTTATAGCATGAGTGTGCTCTTCTTGCAAGAGGAGGAAATGCTATTTGGGATTGCGCCCATCGAAGTCCCGACCTCCATTTTTTGTTAGTTGTCTGAATGTTTAGTACATTTGATTTCCTTTTGACAATTAAATCAAGTTGATTAATGAAGTAACTAATTTGGCCTTACTTATTATTTTTCAAATCTCACTATACAATTTTATGATGTATGCTTAGAAGCATTTTTTAATTTGAAAGATTTTCTCTGAGCTTGTAATATCCATAATCGATTTCCCTAATCTCGGGTGTCACACGTACGGACAAATTCCTCTGCTGACCAGATAGGAAAGGTATGAATTATGTGACCAATCATATGCATTAATATAAGGAGACGAGGAGAATAGATATTCCATTTTTAGGGCGAGGTTAAGTAAACTTGTTTTGATTCTGATCGGGTCGGCAATAAGAACAATAACTGAATGGAAAAATTGATGGGCAATACAAACTACATTTCAAGTTTCCACTGGTCACTGGAATCTAAGTTATGATACAGTTCACTACCATACCAATAAAGAAAAAATACAACCACTTGAATGTATTTTCAAAGGATGTTTAAAATGAAGAAACAGAATGAACGATTTATAATTCTTGAAAATTTGTTTCAAAATTAAGGAAAAGCGTTTACAAAACTATCAACGTTTTTGTAAAAGAGAGAGGGTAGGTGAGTCATGCTCGGATTAGATGAGACTCAAATACAATTAGCGCTGGAGCCCTGACAAATTCCAGAAAGATATTGAACAGGATGGTAAAGAGTTCAACCCAGCTGGTTTTTTATTGATATCAAATGGGAGGTGTCTTGATGGTTATCAGTAGCCCTTTAGTCAAGTTGCTTCATATAGAGGGGAGGAACATCAAAGTGATAAATGTCAAGAGGGGGGGGGGGGGCAGAAGAGTGTTTCAAAAATGTAAAAGAGACAGACACAAAGGTAGAAAAAAGGTGAATTGAGTACAGTGAAAGTGGTTGAATATGGCATAAAGTCGGGTCATGGTAGTTTGAAGTCAGATGTCAACTGCCAGTTTCCGTATGAGTATACGTAGCCCAGGGTGCACCACGTGGAGGAAAGTCTATAGCACACCCCACCCAGCTGGTTATTGATTGCGCTGTCGTGCACTCATTGGTACCAATGGAAAGAGTGGAGAAAATAACCTGGAAATCAGCTGGAGTTCCCCTGGTCATTATAAATATCCACTGAATTTTTAGGGCAAAATTTAACAGATGAATAAATCAATGATAAAGCCTTTCATTCAATTCCATGAAATAGATAAGCACATTTTTCTGGATTTTGTTTAAGCAGTTAAAAATATTATTTCTTTATATTTTTATCAAAGCAAAAAGTAATCAGTCAGGCGTTATGTTTGAGCTCATTAAAATAAAGCTCACTTAAGTGGAAAATTAATTAATCGGATAAATTTCTTTGCAATTCATTCAATTTCTTCCTTTGACGCAGTATTGAATTTACAGCCAATCAGAGGGTCCAGTTAACTCCTACATGAATATTAGCAAATAAGAGTTCGCGCGTGCGTGTGTGTCCGCGCGTAGCAAGTCTCGCATGCGGTAGGCCAGTTGTGGAGTTTCATTTCGTTTCGCTTGAGATCAAATCAAGGAAAAATCTCCCATAAAAGCCATCTAAAGCACTCTCCTTTTGCAACCTTTGGAATTTCGTGGTTCATCGGACTGAATTCAAATGAAATAAGGTCAAGTTTCGCTTGTTTATTCACTCTTGCATAACGAAATTATCCCCACTTTAACATAAATCACTGCGCTAAACTTGTAGTGAAGTATGTAATATAACTACGAAGGTAAAAGATAGAATATGCGGGGCCAATATTAACTGATTCATTATTATAGTATCTAATATTGATTGTAATATTGCATTCTTTAACGTAAATTTCTCCCTCCTTATTTATTGATCACTTGAAACAAATTATTCAACTTTAAAGTGAAAAATATTTGAATCATAATTGAATTTTATTATCGATGAGATTAAAATGTTCCATTTTATTTCTATACCCATCAATTACTCAATTTTTGAATACCGAAATTCTTAAATTCCCTCAGTTTTTTTTCGTTTGACACTACGATTTCCCAACCCTGGTCTAAAAGAAGAAAAGTTTTGTTTGGTTTTACTTTGAAGTTGAGTCCATCCATTTTATGCGCATTTATTGCTTAAAAGTGAGGAAATAGGAGGAGCTGGTATTTAAATGATTGAGGTTATTCTTTTATCAGCCGACGATCTGTTACTTTGAAATTGAAAATTGTATCAGAATTAAAATCACCTAAATGAACTTTTATTGACTATACTACGTGACGACAATCAATTCCATTTTCACAGCTCTCCATTCTTTGTAGAAATGCAGGGATGGATGTTTACTCAGATTCCGGAACAGGCACCTCTTCTAAGACTTGGAAAAACGGTAAAATTTGATCTGAATCACTTCGATGGTGTTGTTAGTTGAAATTATTTTCAAAATTCAATTTGCAAATATTACATTGAATACAAGTTCTAAAACACTTCAGTCGACCTAAAATTCATTAAGGCATTCATTCTTCCTTCAACTAGGCCTTGGAACCCGGAATTATTTCATGGTTTAGAAGGAGTAAAAATCTCTTCGTATTTTGGAGGAGTTTTGAAATTCATAATTTGTCTGTAAAAGGTAGATTTAACCCGATTTAGATCAGATTTAAAAGTTGAAAGGTCACCCTTAAGGCGATGAAGATCACTTAAAATCTGGCATCCTTGAAAACACAATTCTCCGTATGAGTGTCCACCTTTAATTGATGTTGCTGCTAACATCTTAAGTTGTCTTTTGGAATTACTCGGTGTTTCGGACGCTGATTTGGACTATTAAAAAAGTCCCAAATTACGTATTTATAGCAATATTTTAACCATGCCATAAAGCTCATTAACTAGGGCATAACAATTACCACTTTCACGTCGTTAGATGTTTATAAACCCTTTGTGTAGTGGAAACATCAACGGCTTCTGTGTATGAATAATCATTAAGGGCATTCAGGAATAAACCAATTGGGCGGTTTTTTTGTAAATGGACGACCGCTTCCGGTAGCAACCCGTCAGCGAATTGTGGAGTTGGCTCAGAGTGGAGCGAGACCCTGCGACATCTCGCGTCTCCTACAAGTGTCCAATGGCTGCGTCTCGAAAATCCTCTGTCGCTTTCACGAGACCGGGTCGATTCGGCCAAAGGCCATTGGCGGGAGCAAACCCCGAGTAGCCACCAGTGCAGTAGTTCGTAAAATCGCCGCCTACAAACGCGCCTGCCCCTCCATTTTTGCTTGGGAAATTCGTGAACGCCTTCTCCACGAAGGTGTCTGCTCATGTGCCAATATTCCTTCAGTGAGTAATCCTTTTAAGGGTAGGCCAAGAGCTACTTTACCAACTCTTCAATTATTTCTACTTAATTTAATAAGTAGCGAGCTACTATTTGTTTTGAAAGCATATGTACTAAAAATGGAAATATTATGTAAGTCGCAGTCGCTTTTTACGTAAAGCAAATTCATCAACCAATTTTAAATTAAAAATTTGTTAGGGCATATGACATTGTGCAAGTAGATTTGGTAAATTATATGGTAAGATCAAATATTCCTATTTGTTCCATTCTCAAATTGCCTTTTCTTTGCGTTATTGATCAAAAATTGATTCGCCTCAGTACTGTCCTCCTTTAAATGATACTGATATTCCAATTTTTTTCGTATGTTAGTCCTGGCACATGGAATTATCAAGAAAATGAAGGATCAATTATTCCAACATGTTTTGAGCTCATCAATAGCGTGGCCATATCTTTATAAGTATTGTTTAAGTTAAGCAATATACATACATAAAAAGAATTTTAAATTCGAATTCGAGCAAAATTTGTGCATTTTTCTTGTTTTACCGGATTCAATTTTACCATGAACACAACAGTTCGTGAGTTTTTTAATCTGATCATTGTGCTTTTCTTATTTAATATTTTTGTATTATTTGGAAACAAAGGCCACTCAAAAAATTAAGATATTAATAAAGATTAGCGTTGGAAGGAGCTGATAAATAGTGATTTGCCAGTAAAGGCCTCGATGACTCTCCGCAAAGTTTTGGTGTGGATGTTTTTGCAGTAATAAAGGATCATTTTTTGAAATTTGAAATTAAATATTTAAAATTTAAAATGGACAGATTTATATCGTTTCTAGTTTTGACGCAGCTAACCAAAGAGCGAATATTTGAAGACGCGTTGTAATTTGAAAAAATTAAATTTTGGTTAATCTGAATCAGAAAAAATTAAGCTCTGACAAGGAATTTAGGAGAGATATTAGTGGCTTAAAGGATTTAAAGTGGGTAGTTTAACAGGAAGGACTTCTTAGAACAGGTTTACTCACCTCTTTGATAAGGGAAAACCAATAGAAATCAATATTGCTAAGTGCTCGATTTGAAGCAGGCGAAAATTGCGTATGATTCGTTTTTAACGGAAAATATGGTTTGAAAAGAAATAATTCAAGTGAACAATGGGGATTTTCAAAGTTTAAGTTCAAATTATCATGGAATAATCATATGAAGGAAAAAAGCCAAATAATATGTGGCAGTATATTTGTTCGAGTTCGGTTGAAACTCGAATCTAAAAGTCAAATTAAATTCAAGGGAGTAAAGGAACTCGTACTCCTAAAAACACCTCCAAATAAAAAAAGCTCACTACTACAAAATTTTGACGTTTGTGTACAATTTTCAGATTAGAGTTTAAAAATATTAAATGCAATAATAAAATCTAAAATAGGTTACCTTAATTAATTTAGGCCCATGTCTTCACAAAATGAACTAAAATTGTGAAGACAGACAGGTTATTTTGCAGTTGTTCGAGAATAAAATATGTAGATAGATCTCACGATTGATTATCTATTGATCGATTGACAAGTGAAAGCGTGCCTAAAATCTGTTCAGGTTTCCTCGATAAATCGTGTTCTACGAAATCTTGCCTTGGAGTCAAAGTTCTCGTCATTCGAATATTGTCGTATCGAAAGTCAACCAGGAATTGTAACATGTTTCAGTCCACAGCCATCGCACGAAACAATCCACAATCCCCAAAGAGATGGAGGAAAGCGAGGAGAAATAGACTGCCAAATGAATCGCAATTATCAATCACCTTCCAATTTGAATCAAATCTGGTGGAATGCCGATAGTAAGAGTTCTCATTCTTACCTAACAAAACTCTATTTGAAGCATGAAATATGAGATTATTGAGGACAGCCCTATTTGTCAATTTCATTTTATTTGTAAATTAATATATATTTTAGTGACAAAGGCCTGTGATCACAGCTATCCAAGTTCCAATGGATTCAATCCAAGTGAATATTCAGGCCCCAGTGGATGTCATTCCCAGTGGAATGATGGAATTCTTCCTTCCAAACAAATCCACAAAATAGAAGGAGACTCTTTTCTTGACTGGTCTTCCAACGCTTTCCTACCTAGACAATCAAGATGGAGTGCCAGTAAGAAATGCGAATAAATAAATAAATAAATAAATAAATAAATATATATATATATATATATATATATGTGAGTGTGTGTGTTAATAGATGGAGACTATTCCATATTGGTTGCTCTAGTGAGTAACTTTGTATAATGAAAAAAAAATCTTGATGATGCAGGTTTTCAATACAATGGATACCAATTACCGAATGAAAGAACTGACGCTCAAGACACCAAAATGAATTTTCGTGGATATTTGGATTCCGCAGAACAATCAAGCCCTCTAGAACGGAGTAGGTTTACTTTTGTACTTAACACTTGGAAATCGCACATGATTACATCAACATGCTATTTTTTCCAAATATTTATTTGGGAAATTATTCCCAAATAAATATTTCGAAGTCAAAGAAAGTCGAACTAGTCAATGTTGAATGCATATAGGAATAACGCGAAGTGGCAATTTTGCTAAAGAGAATCGCGTTAAACAGTCTTGCGTCTACTGATTGGAATGTCTGTCTTCCTGCCACTCACACCGAAGTCCACCAGTGCGATGGTCTAATCGGATTTTGCAAAACGGGAGTTCAAGACCTATATTTGGTCTTCATCTTCAATCCAGTCTCAAATGGTTTCAGGACAAAATATTATTATTTCACATTTCAAACATTCAAATGAAATTTGTTTAAAAATTTTAATGGTAGCTCTTTTGCCATAGATAGATAAGAACTGAACAGATTCCTATTTCAGTAGTTGTTGTGTTAAGGCTACTTAAACAGAAATTTGAAAAATGATGTCCTGAAAATGTACTGAGGGAGAAGGGGACTGAAAAAGCACCAGATCTGAGAAGAAAATGAAGCTTTCCAAAAAGATCCTCTACTGCCTTCCTTTAATTGGCACTTCGACTACATTCCCACTCCTTTTGAATATGCGCACTCTCCGGTTTCAGAATCACATCCGTGCCATGGGACACCAGAATTCAGTGAAAACAACATTTCTCTCATTCATAGCACGATGTTCATTTAGGTATTTTTTTCATTTGGAATGACTAAAGTTTTAGGGAAATTTGGTTTTAGCATTACGAAGGTCTTTTAAAATATATATGTGGTTACTGTAACTCGTTGTGTTCTCTCTTTTTCCTCGTTATAAGTGCTAATCTTGCAGTATTCATGTCACCGTTTCAAAATAATCACTCCAAAGCCTTGCTGACTTATCATGCTTCCTAAGTGGTCCAATATCGTCGACATGCGTGGAAACTTTCTTCCTTTTAATGAATTTTTCACCAACTCTAGTAATGATTATATCATGGCAAAATACTGAGTTTTTCATCAATTAATCAAAAATATCTATTTGAATTCCCATTATTTATGAATTTTGTCATTAAAACATGACCAAGACTAAAAATATTAGAAAAGAATTTTACAATTAAAATATCAATTTCAATTTTTCTAACCGAATCTTCTTTCATTTCCTCAGACTTAGACAGTTTGTTAAATTTTGAGCGATTTTCGAAAAGAAGTTGGACATGCAAATTTTCTTTTCTACCCTCCATGTTACTGTGGGGAATTGAAATGTTAATGTATTTGTAGTCCCTAAGATCTTGTTCTCCATCTGAAAATTTATTGCAATTATGTAGTTACAACTTTCTGTCCAATGTTTTAGATTCAACACATGAGGATATTTCTGGTCATATCCAACGGAGATCCCAAGGAATCTTGGATCTGCAACAATGTACACCAACCTTAATTCCAAAATGCACCCAGACCTTCTGGCTTGATAATTAATGAACTCAAGTTGAACAAAAGTGTAAACTATAGGAATATTTAGCATGCAAAATAACCTGTTGATTTTTCTTGAATGGGATTAAATGGCAAATAGATTTCGTTCTAAAGTTAAAAGTTGTACATTGATTGATTAATAAAAATAGTTCCATAATGCTTTGAAATGTTTTTTTCAATGTCATTCACTCTTTCAACAATGAGTAATTTCAACTTTTTTACATCCTTCGGAATGCAGTCAAAGTTTCCTACAGAATAAAGAGACATGAAGCTTTGCATGGAGACACTACTTCAACTGCAACACCAAGAGCACTAAGACCAATTTTGGAAAAAAATATAAGAAATAAAGGGCATGAATATCACAAAAATTTAAAGTCAATAAATATCCACACTTCACTAGAGCCTGAATTCTCGAAGACTACATAGCAACCTAGTTGTTAAAGATTTAGAAAGGGTAATTCTACTTGCTCAGTATAATGAATATAATGAATGCTTCACCTGTTGACGTGACAAAGAAGCTAATAATGCGAAGAATGTTTCATCTCTAAAATGAATGTTTGGTTTCTAAAAGTTTGATCGAATGTATGGTTTTCTGAAAAGGAAAACAGGGTGAATACTTTTCCCAATTACTCTATGCTAGGAATTTTGAAAATTAATAAGAGAAGTTATACCATAGTTAGAAGAATTTAGAGGACTCTAATGAATCTACATTTGCTACACATACTAATGATAACTGCAATGATATAAATTCCGAATTTTCCAAAAGTTAGAACTTTTAGAGATTACTTGGGATGAAGATAGCGCCGACTTTCATACAAATCGACAACTGTAAGCTTCATTAATCACTAAGCTAGATATTTTAAAATATTAGTGTCACACAAATTAACGTAGTGACCGAGCAAATAAGTCTTATTCATTCACTCTATTGATTACAGAGTCATAAAGTATTTATCTAACCATAGAGTGTTTCGAAAATATGGTAAATATAAGCACCATGTTATTTAAAGTTCAGTACATAAATTTAACTTCCTAATTTCAATTTAGCGTTTTTCTCGTTAGTTACTGACGGAGGTTGTACTTTTTGGCTTTTTGGATAGTCAACCATTTGACAAACTTAAGCAGAAATTAAAGTGTTCCGTGATGAGCATAAATAACTACATAAACTTTACACGACAGGTAATCCTCATCTTAAATGAGTTAATCTGAAAATAATCTCCCGATGTTGGCAGAAACAGGTATACAATTCAGTGTTGCTAACGGATTCTGCCATTTCCGATTGCCAAAGATAAATAATTTTCATGAGATCATTAATTTCTTGATTAACTATTAATGAAGAAGCATTGGTTTTCATGTTATTACTGAGATAATAAATTGTTGTTTTTGGCATAACAGTATTTAAAAGTGAATTTAACCTGCCATTATTTTAAGAGTTAATTCGTTTTAGACTGCAGAGCAATAAGAAACACATCTGTGATTTTGAATCCAAAAAATCTGTGACATGACAAGGACTGGCGTCCACAGAAGAAAAGTAACGAAGAATTGAAGTTAGAATTGCTCCAAAATAAAATATCATGGACAAAATGTTAATGCAATAATCTATCTATGATGACAATTCGTACATTAATGTAAATTTGTCTTAGGCCTTAGATCTGATTTAACTAACTTTGAAAACATGAAACCATAAACCTTACTAAAGAATTCAACAGCAGCCAACAATAGTCAAATTTTAAAGGGCAGAAAATTTAACAAAAAACATACATAACACTCTTTTCATTATTTAAAGCATAAATTTACATTTGTGTTGGCTTTATTTTAGCCAACAATTATCATATATTTATCAAAGTATGCATGTAGTTACGTCAAAATATTATGCAAAATGTAACAAATAAATATACCTCTAATTTTTAAATAGTTAACAAACATGAAAAGAAGATTAACGCAAAAATTTATTGACGAATATACTTGCTAAATTTAAGAAAATTAATAAGTTTAACGTTAATTCCGTCTCGCCTTATCATGAATAACATGCTTAGGTCCTTATAAATTATACCATTTCATAATCTCATCTTACTCATATATATGAGGAAATTAATATCCATTTCTGTTCACCACACTTTGATCAACAAAAGATATACATATTTGTCATTTTTCGGATATATTACCTACTAAATAAGTGAAGAAATTAATCAAAATGAAATATGCCCCTGTATAGTTTTGAATGTATTGCATATTATCGTAATAAGATAGATTCTTGGTACCTTATTTTAATGCTTAATATCCTACTATTGGATAAAATATAAAATGATTCTTTTTCAACATATATTTGGTTTATTTACGTATTTCTGATTGCACAGAATAGGAAACGAAAGTAAGTACAGTACGCATACTTTACTTCCATTAATATTTTTGGTTCAAGTAAAGATAATGGACATTATTAGTTTGAATTCATTTAACCAATTTGGCCTTTTGGCATCTAAATAGTTTTTATAACATTACTAATATTTATTAATATTCAGCAGATACTCTAACTTTGAACTACATTCATTTTTATGAGCCAACCTAGAGGCGCTCAAGTTATATGCTTTTTGATTGCTATTTTATTTTCGCGTTAAGTGCACTCTGCTTGAGCTTTATTCACTAACTATATGATTAAAATAAGATTAATTAGCCATTCAGCCGTTGAAATTATCGACTTTACCTATTTGAATATGTTTAAAATATGAGTCGCTCTAAACCTCGTAGCAAACGCCCTCAATTTTCTCTTGCTAGGAATCAAGATTTTCGGAGCGAAATGGATTTAATTGACGATGGGAATTTAAACCAAATCCCTTTTCTTAATCGTAGCTGTTCACCCACTCCTATTACGAAATCTTCGTTTAATGATGCGGATTCAGGAACTTTATCAGATACGGAGGCTGATAGTGTGTCTGCCGACGGAATTAAAAACTCCCGTTTTAGTTTTGGATTTCCTAAAAGCTCGTTTCTTACTTCGGAAGCCGATGAGCTGAATCGATCTAAATTGGCTAATCTGGGAACAACTGTGAATAACTTAGCCCACTTCAAATCACTTACAAATGCCAACCCGAACGATACGAGATGTCGACTAAGTCATCCTGATTCTTCAACTCAATCTGAGGATCAACTGGGTGTTGCAATTTCCAAAATGGATGATATTAAACTTCCATATTATGAGGAATCTATTATAGAAGGCTTTTCTGTGATCGCATTTGAAGATCGTACAAATTTAGAGGTACAATTTTTATTATGAGCAAATTACCCTTATTCCTTTAATTTTCATTTTAAGTCTGATGGCCTACTTTCAGCCTTATAGTAACTTTACGTTAAATACTTTGCAACAATGTCTATTAAATGCCGATTCCATTTGCATAAAATGTTTGCCACCGTCCAGGCTATGAGTCATCTCTCTGAACCTATTTTAGGGTGGTGTTTTAGGGATTGGGGGGGGGGGGGGCGAAATGTGATCGTGAATTTACAGATACTATATTTAAATTGTGCTTCTGTATTTTTGATTAGGGTGTTTTATTTATATTTTCCCAGAAATTTTTATTGATGTAGTTCTTTTGCTCTTGTCTCTTGTTTTCACTTAGTCTAACAAAAGTGGTTTTATCGCAAGATTTTATCAATTTGAAACTCATTGGGGTTTTCTTTTCCTGATATTTTTTTCCTTTGACGTGCCTTCTCATCGTAAATGAGTTGTTTCTTTGTTTGCTTTGCGTTTTTATGGCTAACAATAAGTCGTGTCGGCGCGTTGCTGCTGTCTCCTTGCCGTTAACCCTAATTTGACCCAACTTTTAATGTGCACCTTGTAATGAGGCCATCTTCAACATTTTGTTCTAAATTTCATATACCACAATATATCGCATTAATGCTTTTAATGAGTGCCTATCTGTTTTGGCCGCACTCTAGGACCTCTGGTATCTTCCCCTTAATTATCGCCTTGGTGATAATTTTGGGAGTCTTGTGGTCGTCTTACTTCCAGAGTGCCGTATATCTAATTAAATGAAATTATTGGCAAGGTCAAATTGCTATTATAGTGCACTCTTTATGATAATATCTCTGCCTCGTTAATTTTATTTTAAATTTGTGTGGAATAAATAGGGCGGAACGGGGGGGGGTG